TAGGGTATCATACGTCGGTGGCACAATGGTTAGGACTCTCGCCGACCATGCACATGGTCAGAGGTTCGATCCCCTGCCGACGCACACCTGATATTTATGGTCGGCCTGCGAAATTTGGGCTACCGATATCCATGCTGAAAATTCCAAACTTGTAGCGAAAATGCAGTGTGGAATCAAGCTGTAAATGAAAAAACATACTAGTTGAAATAGTATAGAGTTCTAAAGCCGACGAGCCAACAACCATAATCCTCTTTTACACTTCTGCTCAGATAGTCATGTTTTTGGTCCAGTTTCAAATAAAAGGAGAGACAATCTCATATGGTGATATCAAATTAAAGGTGGGTCCAAACAGATTATTATGCTACACACTGTCAACTGATATAGTCGGCTCCTTCTAGAACACCAGTTTAGACAAACACTACGCAATCATCCGTGTACATATAAGCCCATGACTGAATGAGGTTGAAAAAGGGCAGCTAAAAAGTCAAATACTTGATAAGAATACCAGGTCCTAACTCAGACAAGAAATGACTAAACACGTATCTGAAAATGATGAAAAGACTTTGAGACGATCATGAATGGTGGTGGGCGACAAAAGCCAGAGAAATAAAATACTTCAACGTAGATAATACGAGACTGTTATTTCAAATCATTCGGAATAAAGCCAATGATAGGCGAAACAATTTAAGAGAACAGCACTAATTACCTCTCATAGTAGACGACAGCAATTCTGGAGAGAAGACTTTGATTATTATTATTATTGTATCCTTTAGTTCCTAGAATAACATAGGGCTTCAGCTGCGCACCTCCATTGCCTTCTGTTTTCTACCAACTTTTTCACCCCGCTCCAGGTCTGTCCACATGCTTTCATCTCCTCCTCGCATGACCTCCTCCATGTCACCCTTGTACTGACGACCAACTCGCCGCCTCCCTTTCGGGTTCCACTCGAGCAATGGCTTGTCTAGTGATGTCACTTGATGGTTTCCTCAGAGTATGGCCAGCCAATCCATCTCCATTTCTTCCTGACTATTTGTTTCACAATCGGTTCCTGATTGGTTCGCTCCCAGAGATCCCTGTCGTTGATCTTTTCTGGCCGGCCATCTGATCTTGAGTATTGAGCGAAGACAGCTGTTGATGAAGGTCTGAAGTTTGTTTGAGATGCTCTTTGTGACTCGCCAAGTCTCTGATCCGTATAGTAGCACTGACTTCACATTGGAGTTGAAAATCCCGATCTTATTTTTGATGCTGAGTGCTGTTGACCTCCACACAGATTTGAGAGTAATGAAAGCTTGTCTTGCTTTCCGATTCTGGCTTTGATATCCTCGTCAGTTCCGCCTGTAGTTGAAACGATGCTTCCGAGGTAGATAGTTAAAGGAGATTATTTCTTTCAGGTTCCTCCCATTTATGCTGGCTGATTGTTGTCCGTTGTTGTTGTTACTGTTGCTGCTGGCCAGGAATCTTCATCACCTCTGTTTTATCTATGTTCACTTGAAGTCCTATCTTTGATGCTTCTTCTGCCTTGAAGACTTTGAGGCAATACTTAATTGGTCCGAATTCACATCGAGTTTGTCCAGCATCCAACTCCTATCCCATTGAGACTTACATAACAGTGCTCCAACTGTGAATGAGGTTTCGAAAGACAACTCTAATCTAAAACGCGGTGAAACAACGGGACGTGAAGGAACGATTCTAGAGGTACTCAAGAATATTGATGATGAACTATCGACTGAGCTAACTAATATGCGAGGTAATGTATGGGGATCAGAAATAGTTCCATTGAACTGGTGTTAATCCCTTATTATTCGAGTTTATAAAAAATGGAATCCATTCCCCCTGTGATAACATCAGGGGGACCAGGTTGGTTATCGCACTATGTTAAGTCCCAAGCTCAACAATCATTTGCAGACTAAGTTATGCTCAGTGGACACAAACTCACGAAAACCAAACAGACTTTAGGGCAAGAAGATGGTGTATTAGCCATATCTTCACCTTTCGACAGATTCTGGAATGCAGGCATATTTACCAGCTTCCAACTCTTGCCACATTACTTGGCCTGAAGGAGTGATTAACTGCGTCGATCGAAGGGGTACCAGGGAAATGTCTGGGTGTGAAGGAGTAGCGAGAAGATTTATTGCGGCAATCCAGGCATTCCACTCGAACTCAGAAAACCATGCAAGAGCTTACGGAGAGTTGTCATCTGAAGCGATAACAACCAGTGATCTCCATCAGAGACGCCCACTATCCCTATTTTTGTTTTATTCCTTCTTAGATGCACTAATGGAATCGACCCTAATTCACTTTAGCGTCTCAGTACAGTCGTCGATTTAGAGTGTGAGGATGATATAGTCTTTGGTGACGACTCTGGTGAAATGCAGTCTTCTGAACAGTTTGAGCAGAAATCTTCGAATGTTTGGTGCACTATTCGCTGCTGTCAGATGTAAGATAATGCTGCAGGACTGGTGTGCACTGACTTCTAGTTTAAGGATGACTGAAATTGTTGGGCGTGTTAGCCACTTCAGTTATTCCCGGTCAACCTTGATGATCTGGCTACTGACAAAATCTCAGCGCAGACACAGAAGGTTGGTGTGGCATTTGTCAACTAACGTCATCCCTAGTGCTGGCATGATACCAAACGACGTACATACTGTGAAGCACTTTGCTTCCTCTTTACGGCTGTTGGAAGTGAAAGGTTTGAAAAGCCTGGCAGTCTCTGACCATAAGTGCCTGTCTCCTATCGGTCACGTTGGGTGGTATTATATCATTAGTAATAGTGAGGTTAGAAGTAATTTTAGGTAAGGAGCGGAACCAACCCACGATATTTTGAAGCTTCAGTGGTTAATGGACTTAACCCTGGGTGACTTCAGCGACTCAGGGATTGACTTGCTACCTGGGAATAATCTCGTTGACTTGGAATATGCAGACGATATAGTCCTTCTAGGCGAAGACGCTGACGAAATGCAGAGTCTTCTAAACACCTTGAGCCGCAATCTACGAATGTTTAGCATGCGATTCGCTCCCGCCAAATGTAAGATGATGTTACAGGACTGGACTACATCGACGCCTAGTTTACAAATAGGAAAGGAAATGGTAGAGCACGTTGACCGCTTCACTTATTTGGGAAGTACCCCAACGGGCTGATCTCTGACGAAATCTCAGCACGAATACAAGGAGCTCGTTTAGCATTTGTTAGTTTACGCCGACTCTGGCGTAGACGAGATGTTCGACTATCGACCAAAGGGCGGGTGTACTGCTCATCAGTCCGCTCCGTCCTCCTTTATAGTTGTGAGACCTGGCCACTCAGAGTGGGAGACATGAAAAGACTAGCTGTCTTTGATCATAGGTGCCTGCGTTCTATTTCCCGTGTAAAGTGGCATAATAAGGTGAGCAACATGGAGGTTAGGCGTAGAGTTCTAGGTAAACAGGGGAAATCAATCGACGAAGTCGTGAAGCTACAAAGACTAAGATGGTTAGGACATGTGTTACGTATGCCAAGCCATCGCCTCCCTCGACGAGCTATGTTAGCGGATATAGGGTCAGGCTGGAAAAAAGCTAGCGGCGGTCAAACAAAAACTTGGCATCAGTCGATGAAATCCACAACAGTTGGTCTAAGCCACGTAGAAAGGTGTAGACTTCCAGGCTGGGGTCCTCGGGACGGTAAAAATCTATGGTTGGAAACAATTGGTGACATGGCTCAAAACCGTTCTCAGTGGCGCAGATGCATCCACTCCCTGTGACTTATGATCTCCAATGAAACTGTTTTGTATTTCTTTATTACTCCTTTGTCTCACACCTCTGCTCACTGTTTCTATTATGCTTTTCTTGTACTTTCTTCTCTTGCTTCGCGTGCTACACGGAATGTGGCGACTTGAACTTCCGCACATTTGTGCAAAGTTCTATGTCGAAAACAGACAGACAGCAGTGGTTAAGATCGCTAGATTCTGTTAGATAATCGTAAGCATTGTGCACCTCGAATGGAATGTTAGCGATTATAGGAATACGTTATAAAATGGTTAGGTGATTATTATATCAAAACCTTGCGTCAATCCATTAAGTCTTTGACTGTTGATTTGAAGCAGTCATGAAAGTAGGTTTAATCGGCACGGCTGGGATCGCTTGGATGCAAAGAACTAATTGTTCGAGGATGTTGACAACACGCCAGAAAATCGTTCTGAATGGCGCAGATGCTCTCTGTAATTTAGATATGATAGAGAAGATTTGTAGCTCAGGTGGATGATTTTGATGTGGTTTTGTTCTCTGAGCTGGATGGTTAGTTTGCGAAGCTTTCATCACCTTACTGGGTGACATCTTCAGCGCATACTTCAATTTGAATTCTCTGTAATTTTCATTATACTCTATGCAATTATTCATCGTCTCGTATATTTCTGGCTACTCTAGTCTCTATGCACTGTCTTTTTTCTCCATCTTAATGTGTTTTTATCAAGTGTGATAACTTGAACTACACCACTTTTGTGAGAAATTCTTAGTTAGAAACAAACTACAGTTCACAAAGTAACAGGTGCATTTCCTGTATATTCACGCAACTGGCTAGAGATTTATTCTCTGTCAGACCATTATTTTTACTTCGTTTGCTTTTTTTCGATTGCTTTAGAACATGTCAAAATGAATTAATACAACTTATACGAAGTCATACATGATCTTATCTGTTTGTAGAAAACATCTGTATGAGAATGATACACACGGCATACCTGTTCCCCAAAAATACCAATATAACTACAGTGCATTGTAAAAGGGCAATAATTAATTGTGTGCATGCGCTTATACTATTTCGTCAGATTAGTGCTAAAAAGGCAGACATCCAATATCATCCTCATCATTAAGATGCTGAGTTTACACTAGTGAAGTACCGAAACTTTATACCACCGGAGATACTTGAAACGAAACCGGATATCTAAATGTTGTCAACTTTTAGTCGAAATCACTTAGTAATATAATGATTCGCGTATTTCAGTTTCAGATTGAAAAACTCGAGAAAAATGAATCACCAGAAGAAACTAATATTCAAGAACAACAATTGACAGACAGTAATCGTAAGCTAGACAAAACAGATACATCTATACACAATGAACCCGAATCATGGGAATCGCAAATCAAAAGCTTTTTAGGCAGATTCCTCACTTCAGTTGAAGAATTACAAATTCAGTATAACAGAGTTTACAGTGCTGAACAAACAACAAAATGTCTTAAACTTTCCTCATATCATTAAAATTTTATACTAATTGTAATATCATACAACTTCTGAAAAAATGGAGAAATTGAAGTGTCTGCACAGTAAAACTGGTTTAATTTGTCTAGGAGGTTGTACCACTGATGCATTGATTCAGAACTAAAAATGATCTGAAGTGTTTTTATCTAATTCTACATATTTCTAATCATGTAACTTTTCTTATCACTAAATGAACCGATAACTTGTTATTATGATAACCACTACTAATTACTATTACAAAGATTTATCAAAAAATCTTATCCATAATGAAGAAGACAGCAGTAAACGTATCTCAAAGACTTAGAAATGGTTGTAAGTTAGGAAAAGAAGAAGAAACGTACGTATCAAAAGGAAAACGAAAGAATCAAAAAGGCAGTGTAAAAAAATGCCGCTGCTAGACAACAAGGCAATTATGCTGAACAAATTCGCGCTGGACAGTTAAAGGAGTAATCTCTAACAAAAAGAAAGTCCAGGCTTGAATAATTGACAATCTTAAGAATAACCCACAGAAACGAAAAGGAATGAAATATATATGCAAAATAAAGGTAGCCAGCCTGTGTAAGTCAATATTCAGGGAATTTCGGTTTTAGCAAAAATTTATTTTTCACTACAGCAGGTTGATTAGAGACGCTCCTTGTCACGGTGTTTGATTTGGAATTTGGTTCCTCCTTACTTGTCGATGCACCAGCGAGTAAAGCTGATAAGTACGGACGATGAGAAGTTTTTGGAGTTATCACTGGATACGAAAAGAGAAAAACGGAAAAATAACCTGTAGAATATTCTCATTAATTCAAATCTTAGACAAATACTAGTGACAACAAAAATGAAGCATTTGAATGTAGTATATATTATCAGCTTGCACATGTTTGCATTTCGTAGAATAATAAAATTAGACAGTAATTCCACGATACTCTGTAACCGAGTTCCACTGTAAAGTAACACGGTCGGTAACGTTGAACAGTACGCAGCAAACTGAGTAGATGATATACACATTGGCTGCAATTTCAAAGGCATCTACCTTATTTTCTACAAACGATACATATTACGTTGAGGAATTTCTGCATGAAACTCACATTCGAGATAAGGACCACGCAGGTTACGAACTGCTGAATAATAATAGTAACAATGACGAAGCTACAAACTGAATCCAAAACAGCAATTACATTTAACAATTACAAAATTGATGTTCAGAATGTTAAAATCGTCCAGAAACAGTTCATCAGCTATCAGGAGGAGAAAATAATTCAGGTAACCAACCAGACATTAGATTTTAATTTACTTAATGGTTGTTGAAACGTTTTAAAAACGGATGATAGTCAAACGCATGTGTCCAAGGAATAAAATCCCTGAAATTACATTTTACCCATTGATCACTGCTCAGTAGCAGTAACATGCGTTATTTTTTGCATGTGTGAAGAGTAAAGTGTAACTCGCTCTATTTATCATCTAAATAAGTAACCCGTATATGTTTTGAACTGAGAAGTTTTAAAGAGGTAGGAGAATATCAGAAACTTTGCCACTCCACTGGGATGGCACAAATATATTCTGATTGAAAACTGCTTACCCAACAGGTAATGTATTTAATTCTGCCGAAACAAGTATCCACAGAACTGCTACCAAGATTACGAAGCTATATGTCCTCTCTCCGAAAATCTCAGTTTCACAAAAATTAAGTTCTATTTAAACCACAGTGATTTTATGCGCTGATTAGGCCGAAATGAATGAGAACTTACCTGTAATAATAAAAATACTTAAGAGATTGGAAATAATTTCTACAAAAACACCAACCAAAAGAATTGAAACCCATAGACTCTGGTGAATGGTCATCATACATTATGGTCTGGATCAGCCAGAAGCCTTCGTGCCCATAGGCAGGAATTCACTAATAAATATAACTCGAAAGTTACTATACAACTCAATGGTCTAAATCCCTTCCATATGAACTTTAGTGGTCAAAACTATGAAGAAAAACCCTGAATCACAATCCATGACTAAAATCAGTTACAGTGTCTCACAACATATGAAATCAACTGAATAAACTCATGCAGGATGCCCGAGATCATAATAACGTAGCAGCTTCGAAATAAAATATGAATTCAAATAAGCTACTGGTATAAACATATTTTTAAGGAATCTTCTTGACTTTCTGCATGATACTTTTGACGACAATTATATTTCCTAAACATTCTGGAGTGAGGATGAAAGCTATTGAAAGGTGTTTTCGCGCATAGTATAGCAAACGTCACAGCAGATACTCTAGCTGCATAAAAAGTTAGTAAAATAATTTTAAAATAGCCAAACATAACACCTGATATAATTACAGCATTCTTCTAGACCCGTACTACTAAATACTTCATTATAATAATAATTTGCTTCATTCCAGAAACAATACTAGTGGTACAGTGTGGAATTTTTAGCACATATCTACAGTAAATCAACTGCCTGAGGAAATTCAAGCCGCAATTGACCGCCTCCATTCTACCTATACAAGTATACTGAAACGAAAGCGTGGTGAGTTTGATTTGTGATAGGTTATATCTTCACCTTAGATCCTGACATCTAAAAGAAGTGCACCCTCACTGTAAATCAATTTCACTGAGTAGATATATTAAGTAGATTTGAAAACAGTTATTAAGGGCTGTATATACTTAACCACTGAAGTTCATGAAGATCCCCACAGATCAATTTAAAAGTTAATTTACTCTAATCATCAAAAAAGTAGTGACTCATAAATCAAAAACTTCGTAGCATTTTTGAATAAGGGGCAATACAAACCGCTAAAAGATCAAAGACATCACAGCTGACCACTACTTGCTGATTTAATGGTGAAAGCTGATATAAATTAAAACAAAATAGTAAGTCTCTTATTATATTAACGAGAAAAGAAAGTTATTCATACTTCAGACTATATACCTGATTGGTTGATTTCATCTGGTCATCCTTCAGTTAATAAGTTACTTTAATTTTATTTATCTTAAGAAAATTGACTTGCACTGCTTAGAATAACATAGTCACTGAAATGCACCAGTATCCAAAACACATTTAAATGATGATATTAAAATTCAAAATCACTCACAAACTTACGCATAAATGATTCCGCATCACCGGGAAATAGATACTGAACGGGCTGAACACGACCCAGAAATCGGATCAAGGACTGTTGAACTTTACGACGCTGTTCAGCTACTCGACGGCGTAATGAAGCTGGATCGGGAGCTATTGGTGCACGCCTAACTCGTGTGGTTACAAAGGTGTGTGGCTCAGGTAGTGAAGGAAGCTGTAGGTGTGCAGGAGCTGGAGGTGGTAAAGATGACAGTTGGTCTGAAGCACCTGAATTTGAAGTACATGTAGATCCCATTGCACCAAGACGAGGATTGCCCGACCAATTAAGACGTAAAGACAACGGTCGAGGAATAATTGTTGTTCCACCTGGACCCAGTACTGCAGAGCATGAAACACCTTTCTTTTGTGAACCCCCAATAGCAACAGCTAAGATCGGAAATTAACAACGTTTATGTAATTGGCAACAGAGTAGTCTTATTATATCGTCTCAACTTTCAACAAGCGTCTACCAACCATATTTTCCAAAATTGAGAACAGTTTACAACAAAATGTATAGATTTTACATTCCCAATTATTGAGGAGAGGCGTGTTAGGTGACAGAGTACTAGTAGTGGTGTCTCCCTTGAAAGGAAACGTCTTTTCACATAAATAGTCACCTTTTAATATGTGCAGAGCTTGGACACTGTGGTAGTATGTAATTTCATATTAATTGGATTATTATATGTATCACACAGTGAAAGAGTATTATTTACTGGATGACTTTTCGAACTCAATTTATTGTTCATAATCATATCATTTAGGTCAAAGTAGTAGAACAAGCCAGACTAGTGGAGCATAAAAGCCTAGCCATATCTGGATTAGTTGACCTGAATAAAATAAGAAATCTGGAGAATAACTTAGCTGTAGCATAACATGTAATTACAGACAACCATACAATAACATGGGATAAGATGACAGTTTTAAAATCTAATATATATATATATATATATATATATATATAAAACTAATATAGAAAATGGTCCATTGAAACTTGAAACGGTGAAAATGGAACAGCACTGTCGTTGCGTGGATGAAACTTTTGTGCTCTACAATAAATGTCCACGTAATGATTTGATTTTGAACCAATCTCATAGTGCTCACCTAGCAGTCCACTTCACCTACCAACGAGAATTCAATGACTCAACACATTTTTGATATCTCAATAACAAGAATAGGAGATGAATCTATTAAGAGAACCATATTTAGAAAACTAAAGACTGAAGCCCATTTATTAGCTTTACACCAATGAAACACAAGCGCAATTCGATCAAGTGCTGAGCACTTACAGCAAAGTCAATTTCTCCCAATCATCCAATAGAGAAGGAACTCCACGTCATCTGGGATATTCTAAGCGAAAACGAATTTCAAGAAAATTTTAATGAAGGTTAACATAAGTTGTAACAGTCGCAAACATGAATCAGAAACGATGGAGAAAAAGCCATACGCACGGAGATGCTATACCAACGTCAAATCAGGGAGACAAAGAAGGCTTTCTACTCAGGACACTAGTCCCTATTTTCCAGTAGGCATCCATTATCCACCCTAAAATTTAAAGATGTCTCGTCTAATCTTAGCTCCTCCTCATGCGTATACCCACTTAACTTTTTCTGGTTTCAGTAATATAGCAGGTTTGTCTACGGATTCCAGAAGATTTACCAGTTTCATACAGAAAAGATGAGACCAATCGCATAAAAAGTTCAATTATATCACAATGGGTCGATACAGGACATAGAATCGACGCTAACATAATCTTCATGATTATGTACTATATTCTGAGATCATTGTCACACACAGTTCCCCTACATCTTTTAAATACAACTAAAGCCATTGATATAAGAATAAAACTTGTGCACTGTGGTAGAGTGTAATTCCATTATGGGTAAATTTTGTTTTGATAAAGTCTGACAGTGTTATACAGTAATGTTTACTGATGACGTTTCGAGCACAATTTATTGCTCATAATCACATCAAGGTAATCACACGACTTCCTAAATTCATTTATATAGTCCCATTGTTTTTCTCTTGATTTTCACTTGATTTGATTGGTAATAGTATTTTCCATAGTGCCCTCAGTACATTTAACCCTACTCCGAAAATATGTAGATGACACTTTCACAGTGTTAAAAACAGAACACATCTCTAGCTTCTTGACACATATAAACTCACAAGTTGAGGGAATATTTTTCACATTTGAATCAGAAAATGAACAAGGAGAATTAGCTAAGTTAGATTGTAAGATAAAAGGAACAGAAGAAGGCAAACTACACACTAGTGTTTATAGAAAACCAACGCATTCTAATAGATGTTTAGACTTTAATTCGTCTCATCCTTTAACTGTTAAGGCAGGCTTAGTTAAATGTTTAACAAACCGAGCAGTGGCACTAAGTGGCACAAAAAAGATCTAAATGATGAATTAAAACAGATAGAAGAAGCGTTGGTGTTGAATAACTATCCTATAAAATTCATTAGGAAGATCATTAAAGGCCAAAAACAAAATAAAAATAATTGTGAAACTAGTAATAATAACATAAATAAGAAAGAATATAATTCATCCACAGTTATACCATATAAAGAGGGGACATCTGAGACACTACGTAGGATTCTGAATAAAATAGGAATTAGGGTGGCATTTAAACCTACAAACTCACTCAGGGACAAGCTCTGTAGGTTAAAGGACCCAGTTGACCCAATTAGACAAAATAATATTATTTACAAAATACCATGCAATGACTGTGAGGTCAACTACATAGGTCAAACTAGTAGGTCAGGGGTAGTCAGATTGTCAGAGCATAGGAATCTAGCTAAGGTAAGAATGATTGACCCCGAGAAGATAAGTAATTTAGAAAAAAGCTCAGCAATTGCAATGCATGAGCTAACACACAACCACACAATAGGGTGGGAGAGGGTTAAAATTCTAGGTAGGTGGAGAGAGAGGTTGATTACTGAATCCTTGTTCATCGAGTCTACACCCAACACATGCAATAGGAATGACTCGTCACTCATACCTGAAATATGGAAAATACTATTACCAATCAAATCAAGTGAAAATCAAGAGAAAAACAATGGGACTATATAAATGAATTTAGGAAGTCGTGTGATTACCTTGATGTGATTATGAGCAATAAATTGTGCTCGAAACGTCATCAGTAAACATTACTGTATAACACTGTCAGACTTTATCAAAACAAAATTTACCCATAATGGAATTACAACTAAAGCCGTTGTGATACGACGGACTAAACCGGGACTTTGTATTCGAAAAGAACATGTTCAGGTAGTGTTCCCTACAGTGGCCAAACTTAGATTAAAACTTCTCCTCTCCTCCAAGTGTGTCTTTTTCTCCTATTTCCTTTCTCTTGCTTTGATTATTATTTTTTGTTTCTTTTCGTCTTTGTCCAAACAATTTTAGTTAAACTGTTTTACAATTTATGCCCTTCATGCTAGCATTCCTTCAGTACCATTGAACTTTTCATTCATAATATTCTGATCTGTTATTAGTGGCATTATCTGTTTTCTGAATATATTTCTCCAGCTCTCTTATTTCATATATTGATTACTTCACGATGAACTAATCACCGAAGTCATACTATCTCCTCATTAATGCATACTGTTATAAGTATAAAACTTGGGTACTTTGGTAGAGCATAACTCCATTATGTGTAAGATTTTATTTTGATAAATCACACAGTGTTGTACAGTAGTATTAACTGATGACCACGTTTCGAGCACAAACTATTGCTCATAATCATATCAAGTCACTACTCACACAACTTTTTCCTTCATTTATATACATGTGTGGAATTGATGATTAGATATTTGAATAAAAAATCAATATGTGATAATGTACATTCCGAATTGTTAATATGAGTGTTAATGATCAATTTTAATCAAACGGGAAATAAGACGAGTGTTTTTATAGTCATAATAAGTTACTAGTTAGAATGCTGTGACGTGTTTGAATTGAAATAGAATATTAAGATTATTTATTATCCTTTTCTGATTTGACCGGCGGTAATAATATCTTTCATATTTCTGGTATTTGCATTGAATCATTTCGGTTACATGTGTTAGGTGTAGACTCGATGGACTGTACTGTACTGTTCTGTACTAGACACTTACTCACCAGATACATTTCACAACCTTCAACTGACTTGTTAATTTTCTTTTCCTACATCGTATGAATCCATTATGACTAATGACTGTCAGCATTTCACATTTCATGATATTTTGTGATTGCACTTGGCACCCCTATCGCACAAAGACTTTATTTTTTACCCCATAAGTAATCTCTTGTTTGACGTACATATGTGCTATCTGCGTAGGTGGCTATTATTTAAAGTAAAAACCAATTTTACTATGGAATTAAAGTCTCCTACAGTAATTTAATTCCTCTCCTACTTTAGCAACCTGTATCATGAAACTACATTTACAGAATGAGCGACCTAACCTCCATTACCTTACTTTTACAGGAATTTAACAGTAAGTAGAACATCCTCACAGATCATCTATATGTGAACAAACATTAAATCTGTCAATACTCAAAAGAAAAAACAATCAATAAACATACGTTCTTTACATCCTCTGTACATGCGTTTACGGGGGATTTCATTTAGGCCTGAAACATCAAACCCCAAATCTATTAATCCAAGTACGATATCGCTTAAAAGGATTGACGTTCTTCCCGTACTTTCAGCATTCATAAGTGAAGAAGCAGCTAAATCTTCAGTAACTGAAAAATGCCAATAAGTTATAAGAATAGAAAAATAAACAACAGTGTATGACAGCTTTCACTCCGCAACAAATGTATTTTGATAGTAGTATCCTTTAAAATTACAATCAATGGTTTATAATCACAAATCACTTAGTCTGGAGCAAACGAAACAAACTACGTTAATGCTGAATAAAGTGCTAAGCGTTCACTACGGGTGTAGCACTGATGATTTAAGAGGTAAGAACTACACTGATAAAACCAATATTGAGCATACTTTTAAAATATCTGTAGTATGGACACGAAATAGCTGTAAGCATAGAAGTGTGAGAGAGTTCACTTTTACATTAAAGATTCCTGTTTCTAAAACCTTTCTAGCAATTTTTAATTAACCACCGTACAGCCTATCAAAAGTTTATTAAGTGTTGGCTTATAGGGATTAGATTGGTTATGAATTGACATTAGTTAGAGAACCATTGGAAACCCTGAGAGTACTGGAGAGCTGTTTCATTCTAGTCCAGGACTCTTAAGCAGTACGCATCCATTATATATATATATATATATATATATATATATATATATATATATATATATATATATATATATATATATATATATATACTTTGGCGAAACTGCCTTAACTACGAAATAAAGATAAAATGGGAAAATGATGTGGATTGTTTCCAACTCCTCGCTATATAAATTCACCTGAGAGGTAAATGTTTTGAACGATGAATCGTTGATAAGTACAATGAAAGTTCACTTACATGAGAAGAAAAGATTTGAAAGCACCCTCAGTGCAGCATATTCAATGGCTGTATATCCAACCGACAAAGCAAGGTAGCCAATAGCACCTTCTACAACATCCAGAACACCTTGTGGGCATTCTCCGCCAGTCAACAGACGACTAGACATCCTTAAAAAAAATTAATTAAATGATTACAAATTAATATAGGTATAAAATATTGCATACATTAAGATGAAAAGCCAGACTTAACACGTATTTTTAATTTTAATATCGCCACACTCAAATTCATTTAATCAAGCTAACAAGAAATCATTGTACACTTCGAATTGCTATATCTCGTGACAGCACAGAAAGAGAAAGTGAATAGCATTTACATATACACAGAAAACAACTTAACAATCACAAATCCAAAATGTAGATAAGTATTACTAAGCAGACCTAGCTAAGATCCTTATGCAGTAATTTAGGAAGTCCTCCATTTTTTATTGTTGCTTAACAGGAGTACATCGATCACGTACTTTTCAGGCAATAATCGTTAATGAGTTAGAAAATATTTTGTTTGACTCAATTATTATTTTACTATATAGTCAAATTTCACAATTTACAATCAGCCAATTACTGTAGATGTGGAGAAGAAAAAGGTTGGCAGTAAACATGTTTCTAGGTTGCAAAATTTCAATAATTGTCTAAATACTAGTAAACTCATAATTCTGTTTTTTTGGAGGACTTAGCAACACGCTTCTTGCCGTTAACAGACAAAAAACACGAAGATTGTGCCAGTGCCATGAACGACTACGATTAATTTGTGTGATGATGTTCCCACCGAGGCTCGAATTTAATACCCATAGTTTTGGACGCTAAAGCGTTATCCACTAGACCACTTGGGCCAGGAGAGCCACCACTTGTGCAACGGATCATATTAATTATTTAACTCAATTTTAGATTTCCCCGTCGATTGATTGAACCGAAGTGCTTGGTCTCTGGTCGGCATGTCGGCTTCTTGTGCAGATGCTTCGACGATATCTGGGCATGAAACTGACGTAATCTGGCGTTTGAAACTATGGGCACTGGTTTTGATCCTCGGTGGGAAAATCACTCACTACGGAATGCAGGTACATCCAGATGACCAGTCCCAAGAAGGACGAAATGTCCATCCTGGATTTCACTGCTAGTCACCATCCACCGATTAAAAACTATTCAGACTTAAATGAAAAGAACATCAATCAAAAAGTACAAGAACATATAATAAAGGTATTTTGTATTTCCCAATGAATGAAAACCAAAACGATGTTTTTACTCATGTTTCATTATTTAATGCTGCTGATAGCTTTCTTAAAGTATTATTAAACCATAATTTACAAAATCTCAGCTTATATATGACAGCTTAATCATCGTTCTCTAGCATGGGGCCATTTTTGCGTTGTCAAATGATCCAATCAGTAAAGATAACGAAACCAGGTGTGGATTGTTGGATTTAATAAATGTGTAAAATTATGAAAGCAGCGTGTGTTTACATGATGAAATTACTTATCACATTCCTGTCAATTTTGTTATTCCATGGGGGAGGGAGGTGCTGTAAGCAGATCAAATTCTGTTTTAGTCCAACATTCTTATTCAGACAATTTGGATTCAACTTGACATAAAGTGCTTCTGACATCAAATGTTTTTTGTGATTTTTGAAATTTTCTTGGATTATCTCAATATTGTCAAAATCAATTTTGTCCTGATTTGATAGCATGTAGACCTATAACTGATGATTTTTCAAGCTTTACTAGTTCAACTGGATTTCTTGGTGATCGAACAGATGTTCATTTCTTCTGATTTTGATTTCTCAAGATGTTTGGCCGACGTATATCGCATTATATCCCAAACATTTTATTCTATGGACACAACTGGATAGAGAATATTTGGGGATTCGGTCTTTTATATGGACAAGGTTGCTTCGCAGTGTCTGATGTTTAGAAAACTCTGATGTCAAGCTTATTGAGTACTCTTCTGACATCGTCTGATGTCTCTACTGTATAGAGAATGACAACTGTTGAGGTCCATGTTTTCGGAATACGTTTTCAACCATAATTAATGTCAGTATTGATTTTATTGATGAAGTTCTTCGGGTAATTATTTTGCTTGAGAGTCTCAGTAGTGTTTGATATTTCTTCTTTTTCCTTCTCATCTGTTACCAAAGAGTGTGTTCGTCTAAGAAGACTTGAAACAACTGATACCTTTGCGCTGATGGGGTGTGATGATCCGACGTCCTGAATACAGATATACTCAAATGGCCGTTTACCCTCCTCTTAACTAGACAGTTTAGAAATGGGAGTCCGCCGACGTCTGATTCTGCTTCCGAAGTAAACTGGATTCTGGGAGATAAATTGTTTAGTTTCTCCAAGAATGAACTGTGTAGATCTCGTTTTGGTACTACATAAGTGTCATCTACATGTCTTAGCCATGTTTTAGGAGTGAGTATGCTTGAGTCTCCAGCTACTGGTTGTTAATATCTGCAAAACCCCAAATACGTTATCAATTTATATTCGGATTTTTTCGCCTGTATAATTCATAGTAATGTGTAAAATTTGCCTTTAACTAAACAGGCCCGACCCATTATGATCTGAAATTTGAATTTTTGATTTTGATTTCAGCTTGATTCCACACCGTATTTTTGGGTACAGAAATGGAATTTTCAGCATGGATATCGGTAGCCCAAATTTCGCAGGCTGAACATAGATATCAGGTGTGCGTCGGCAAGGGATCGAACTCCGGACCATGTGCATGGTCGGCGAGAGTCCTAACCACTGTACCACCGACGCACAGTCACATTGAACACTGTCAAAACATCTGACCAGCAGAATTGGACTTGAAAGAAATCCAAATCTGAGACTAAAGTGCCTTTTTCCACACGTCAAAGAAACAAACCCTGTGACATTCTCATGACTATTTATTAATTGTTTTCTATAACATGTGTATTTCATTGGTAAAAATCAGATTTTCCATGTGATTGGTTTCATTTTCCATTGCTGTATATTGGTGATTAAAGTTTAGTGTCGCAGATTTTATGTATATCTGAATATGAACAATAATAATAACCCTAAGACTCAAAGGACAATGTGCCACGGCAACAGTAAAGGATAGACACCAACTTCAGACAACCTTGAAACAGCCTGAATTTACAAAGAATTGTATCTGAGACGTAAATGTGATTCAAAATGGGTCCTACATATGTCTCTAATATGCTGCAAAAACTGGTCCCAGATTTTCGTAAAAGTGTTTACAGACATATCAAACTAATGTATTCACTATTTCTCCAGCTGTAGCAGATACTGGTTGCAGATACGCAATAAGGGAGAGCTTTGATTTCAAGAAAGTGCCTGAAAGAATCACCCATTAAGTACGACTTACAAACTTATAGAAACTTCCTCATACGAAGTGGTTGCATCTGAACGTATAACCATCAACAGCCCTGCAATACTTTTGCAGAGTCATTATCCGTCCACATGTGCATGTCTCGTTCCCCCCTACCAACACACTTTCCACAGCGAAGTCAAAAAACCAAGTCTAGGAGACATTTTCAACGAGGATTATGACTATAGTGAAACAACCACTCGTTAAATGTGAGGCTGAACCTCAATATGGCGCAGTGATATTTATGAAATAGGTGTAGATGGTACCACACGTGGTACTACAGTCACACCTAATTATATCAGCTGAGACATACACCTGTTTGTACCTCAGTTAAAATCGACAGCCAGTGACAGTGCAACGTAGCATTCAGAACTATGAAACTTACCTTCAAGAGCATTGCGGAAATTCTTTGTGGCCAAACACAGCGGGAGCCCCAAGGTCATCGTGTTCGCGCCAGAGGAACAGGTACAGTCTAAGTCTTCTGTTTGAATACTTCATGTTTTTAGGTAGCTATCTATTACTTCATTGTCAGCTTAAAAAATACACCTTAATTTCTCAGTAAGTAACTCAACCAGCCTTGAAAAAACAGAATTCCGAGGTTAGTTCCAATATCCAATGCTTACGTTAGTGCGTATGAACTGGTCATAAACTAGACTGCAGGTAATTAAACACTTCTACGTGAATTTTGGAGGAGATATCAGCGACTATCACGCAGCCATGTAGTCCTCCAGCCTAGTTACTGGGAAAGCGTAAAAGCAACGGCAATCCGGAAGGTAAAGTATGAAAAGATGTAAATTAAATGGGTGTTTCAAAAAGAGTGCAGGGCATCCATAGCACTGTATGCCATGGCCACTCAGAGGTAGTCGAAGACTAAGTACCTCAGAAGGATAACACGATTAACCAACTAGGAATTAAGTCTTCATTATGATTTTAATGAATTCTTCATAAATTGTATGATAAGCACCCTTACTTGTCTTTAAGTGAATTTCCCTTTAGAGGCTGAGAGTGTTGACGTTTACAGGAAATACAAAGTATACTAACGCAAGATCTAATACCCGCAACTCCTGTAGTATTCGTTCCGCGTAGACCAAAGGCAAAGCAAAGCACAAGAATCGATCGGCCAAGTTATGAAATATATTTTAAGGCCAAATCGGAGTGCGAAGATGATCGCTCAGTTGAAGCCATCAGACGCCGTCTGCAAACACTCAAATGGGTGACATTTGTCCCGTCATCATCGCGCTCTGCATCAACCATTGGTTCCTATTCGACTCCATCCTCACCTGCATCATCACATGAGAGCTGTGCTACTAGATCAGCATTCTATATACGTTAAAGGCCTCAAACCTGGTCTGCTTTAGAAGACGCTCGGTTGATTTCAACTGCCATATGTCTCGACTCCCCTTCACTCACGCCTAAACAGTTCTTCGCTCTTGTCGCTGAAACCATTGGCGACCGCACCACCGGTGTGGTTTGTTAGCGTCTATACGAGCTGAAATGGAGACGTACACTTAATCCATCTCTACCAACAGCAGTCCTCACTTCAACTACGTCTTATCGCCAAATTGAACCAAGTACCTCTCCCACTGATATGTTCACCGTCAACAAATCAATCTCTGCTCCTACAAGTCCATACAGGACAACTTCAACTCCAACTGTTATAATCTCATCGAGTATGCAGACTCAGCTGAAGGAACAGCGAGCCCTCCGATTTGCCGTCATTAATGATTACACCGTATTCGATGAATCCACCCAATCAATGCAAATACCGCAGTACCACTATGCAATAAGTACCGTCAACAGAACAATTTTATATTCTCCCACTGCTGTGTCAGTGATCCGACCACTTCTGGGTACTATTGATATCGACGAATCGGTTCCAACTTATACTATCAAACCCTTCTCGCCCAAGCGAACTTCATCGCCCATTCCAAACTTTGAACACGAAGCTTAACGACAAATTTTGCCAACTACTCGACTCACTCAAGATGGTTTAACTCCCCTAGTGAATATGACACTCCATAGAAGCCTCCGCATGGACAATATACATGCTAACCTCATGGCTGCCATAAACACACAACTGACAAATTCATCTCAGCGACTGAACACTGAATCCACTCGACAAATTATCCTGCAACTATATGCGAATGATAATACTCTTAAGGAGACACGTCAAATTCTGGATAAGTAGGGCCAACAGCTGTTCCCTACAAGATGGAAACCATCTGAGCAGCGATACGTCTCCGGTCTCCCATCAAACTTAAACGACAAGAAGAGGCGTCGCATTTTATATGCCCACATACAAACGCTGTGCGTCGGTGGCACAGTGGTTAGGACTCTCGCCGACCATGCACATGGTCCGGAGTTCGAGCCCGCACCGACGCACACCTGATATCTATGCTCGGCCTGCAAAATTTGGGCTACCGATATCCATGCTGAAAATTCCATACTTGTACCAAAAATACAGTGTGGAATCAAGCTGTAAATCAAAAAGAAATAAAAAATAAATTCGCCAAAAGATGCTGCGAACACGGTACTTGATGGCAGATGGAGAGACCCGTTTGCATGTCAGCCTTCCGCTATAGGAGGCTTCAATGAATTTCGGATAGAAACCTTCACGTGCCCAACCCTACCAGACACTAGACCGGTCCAGGAATACCTTCCAACTAATAACGACCTGATCGCCCCAGTTTAAACTGAAGAGATCAAATGGGCACTAAAAGAAATGGTCAAATCCGCGGCCGGTGTCGACTGCATAACTGCCAGGGACCTCTAGAAAATTAACCACACTAGTCTGGCTGGGTATCTAAACACTCTTTCGCTGACATCTTTTCTACCTTCACCACTGTCAGCTTCCGGGGTCACCTTCATTCCCAAGACATCACACCCCGATAACCCTATTGACTTCCAGCCTATCTCCATAATTTCTGTCGTCACGCGCTGTCTGCACGAGATTATCGCCAAGCGCTGGTCCAGATCATTCCCAATGAAAAAACTACAGTTTGCCTTCCTGCAACGTGATGGCTGCTTCGAAGCGACCAATCTTCTTCACACCATCTTGAGAGAAGCGCACTCTAACTATACAAGTTGTGCAATAGCTATTCTCGACATTTCGAAAGCTTTCGATAGCGTCCTACATCAAACAATTTTAAGGGTGGCTGAAAGTTTTGGTGCGCCATCAATGCTTAGAGAATATCTTACAAACTACTATTCCAACTCCTACAGTCTCTTCCACGAAGTGAAGTGTCATCCAGCACGGGGGGTCAAACAGGGTGACCCTCTGTCACCGCTTCTCTTCATCATGACTATGGATGAGATACTCAGTGTTCTTGAAGCCTGTGACCCCATCTACGTAGATAGCCATCCTTTACACTACATAGCATATGCTGATTATCTCATCATCCTAGCTCCAAACGCTGCAGATCTCCAAAACAAACTCAGCTGTATCACCGTCTTGCTGGAACTTGCAGGATTATTGATCAACGTCAACAAAAGCCGTACAATCTACATATTCGCTGACAGTCAGCGTAAAATCATGGCTCTTTCTCCAACTTTCTTCAATATCAACTGCCAGTCATTTCTAGCCATCTCGCCAACAGAGAAATTTACCTATCTGGGCGTTCCCTTCAATTACAAAGGCAGGTGCTGCTTCGATCATGTGGGCGTCCTCAGTGGATACTTAGACAATGTGAAACGCACCCCCTTCAAACCTCATTAACGAATCAGAATCCTGAAGAACAATCTGATTCCTCATCTACTCTACTCAATGACTCTCAGCATCACCCACAAGAATACCCTGATAACGATGGACAAACTTGTTCGTGCAGCTGTCCGCCAATGACTTCACCTCCCGAAGGACACCCCGACTGCATTTTTCCACGCGGATGTCAAAAAGGGAGGCCTGGGAATCATGAATATCTCAACAACGATTCCAAACCATAGGCACTGCTCAACAATAGAAATCTGCTCATACGGAGTATAGCGTCCTTTGCCTACTTCACGCCTTTTCTTAGGATCTGCAATCTTCCGATTCAAGCCCACAGGCAAATAGTAACATCTGCAGAAGAAGCGCATGAAAGCTGGGCACAACAGCTACACACATCAGAGGATGGTTATGGTTTGACGGAATCAACAACATGTCCCGAATCTCACAAGTGGCTTTGTCAGTCACGTCTCGTAAACCGTTAATGCCCAGCTCTTGCTACGCTCGGGCTCACGCTGTCGCTTGAAGTTTCTCAGAAACGCTTAGTAATAACGGACGAAAAAACCAAAACACCAATTGTTGACTTGAGGATTCTGTATTGTTACACCAACATATAAATCAAGTATGACTAAGGTCTGTGAACAAATATTACAATAATAAATCATAATATTACTTCTGACGATGTTTCACTCTTCTTTCTGAACAGCGACCGATGAGACGATGACTGTCGTATTGATGCCTCCGCGAAAATTGGGGAAGTTGATTTTGAGCAAACAACCATGAATTGATCGTTCAATCTTCAACTCCATTGACACTCCCCGGCAAAAAAGGGATCCAACCCTTTTTTCCATCACGACCAATACACGTTGACTTGGATGCCATTGCGAGAACCTGGGTCACACGGACAGAGCTGAAATGGAAAACAAACAGAAAAGCCAACACACCACAAGCATACCCACAGCACAATCTCACACATCGCTGACGACCTGCGCCTTCCAGTTAAAGGCATCCTCTTGCAACACAATCGCCACTTGCTAGAATGACTCTTGCAGAATGCAACGTGACCATGGCAGCACCTCACGATACTCTACGCACATCCTCTTATCTACTCACTACCAATTACCACTGCAATCGCTTGTCACTCATTCTGCCTCAGTTCTAGTAACGGTGACGTATGCGAGCCTCAGTCGTTTACACTCTTTCTCCCCGGCGTGTGGGACCACAGCTAACAATTATCTCCGTGTGCATTTCATTCTCAGCAATAGCCTCCCCGGCGTATACGACCCATCTGCTGTCTTTAACATCAATCAATTCATTCACGGATGTAGAAGACTGGACACAACTTCAGAAGTAATCACGACGAAAATTTTAACAAAATTATGCAATAAAAACAAGGTACGAAAACAACGAGTAAACACAATGAATCCAAAAACACCAATTGATATGACACACCACACATATATACAAACAGTACACACAAACTCGCAGATCATGTCTTGATGGAATTCCTTTGAAGAATCGCAGGACTTACACCAGTACGCCTACAACCCTTCTCAGGTTGACGATTGTAAGTTGTGGAATGTCCGGACACAAACAAGATTAACCAACAATTACAATAATTGGAACTCACACAATTATTTAACACAAACATATGTACAATCAACACATCAAATGTTGTGGATTCTGGCATGACAAACTACCCTTGAAGAACTGTAGGACTTACAGCAGTACGCCTACATTCCTTCTCAGGTTGATGATCCAAGTGGAAGTCGTCCGGACACAAACAGAATTACCAACAGCTAGATGACAGATGATATCAATTCAGTATATACAATATGAACATATGTACAAAATCACAC